TGTATATGTGAGATGTGTGCGTTGCAATATGCGTGTGAATTGCGCGGGGCGCGATGCGTGTTAGAGATTTCGCTGCGCGAAGATCGAGTTATAACGGCAACGTGATTGTGTTAGCTGATTGCGCTCGGGGCTGTGTTGAGTCGCACGAATATTATTCAAAATATATACATTTATATAATTGATCGGTATCACGTAATACAAATGCAGCGGTTATTATCAGACATGCAAAAATACTCTATGCGGTACAATGTTTCGTATGCCGCGCGTGTTTGCGTTTGGGCGCGGTGAATGACCGTTGACGGTGTGCGTCGCGTTTTTCTATGCGCGCGTGTCTAGCGGTAGCTCTAGCCGTGTTTTTTTCGCGTATTTATATATTTATATATTTCTTTTCGCAGGCGTTTCCGCGAATCGCCGATTAAATTCGATGTAGGCGTCTTCGGCGGAAATATAATTGTAATTCCCGGTATAGCTGGAAGGTTTCTGGGAAACATTGTGCCGACGAGAAATACTCGTCCGAGGCAGCTCTCCTCTCTGCCTCGAAGTATGATGCACAACGTTAGACGGTCGGATACTGGACCGTATTACCGAGATCTTTCGGTCGAACCGGAGTGCGCTCGGGTTCATTTTGCGATCGGAAAAAGCGGCCAGATGGATTGCCGGTTTATAATCGAGAGTTCTCGATAGAAGAAGAGTGCTCTCTACCTCTGTTTTAAATTCGGCTTTTTGCTAGGAGCGGTCTAGGTTGCGAGACGTTTCACTTGCGTGATCGGAATCAGAAAAGGTGATTAGATTGCCGAGTATGCCCTTTTTATACCGGCTAATTACCCGCGCGTTGGCGCGCGGCGGCATTACCCCTTCCGAACGGGTTTCAGGAAAACGGTACGGTCGGGCCCGTTCGGAGGGGTTCGGGTGTTGCGCCGAACGCGGGCTTTCGCCGGTCGGCGGTTCGGGGCGCCTCGGCAATCTCCGGTGTTTTCCGGCTCGACAATTAATGGCTTAACGCCGTTCGAGGTGTTTTAAGACGTTTAAAAAATGTGGGCGCATCGCGCCCCTGCCTTTGCCCGGTGGATGTTCTGCCGGGCGGCAGCTTCCGGTGGATCGCATGCCGGTATCACGATGCGATTTAGGGGATGCATCGTTACAATTTATACAGATCAACTATCCTCCCTTAGGATACCCCTTTTTTCACTTAATCACTGTCACTGTCGTCACTGTCACTCAATTAATTTAGCACTCTGTCAACTTATCACTGTATCACTTTGAGTGCTTTCCAGCTATGGTAACACAGTGATACACTGTGTGACACAGTGTTACACAGTGTCGACTTGTAGCTGGAACGCTTTTTAGCTTTCTTATTTTGCCACTAGAGTGCAGGGCAGTCACTTTTAATAGTTGTCACTAGGTCTAAATTTTCAGAACGTTCCCACACAACATTATGTCGTCTTAAAGACGTCTAGATGTCTTTAAGTCGTCTTTTTAGCGAATATAAAAGTTTGGTTATCTTCTATCACGCAATACCATTCTTTAAAAAATTAATGATACCAAATATGAAATGTTATGTTGGCACTCACTGGGGTGCTACAAAACGACGACACAGGCGAACACAGCATTTTTGCTGTGTACGATTGTGTCGACTTGTGTCGTAGTTGGAAAGCACCTGTATCGACACTGTAGCGACACAGTGTCGCCTGTGTTGCTTGCTGGAAAGCACCCTTTATCACTTTCTAATTGCTTCGTAAACGCCTGATATTAATAGTGATGACATGCAATATTATTTACTGCCAAATATAAGGCAAGGATAGGTAGGCATTTAAATGGACATTTAAATGTGCGAGAGAGAGCAAAAATGAAAAGAGTAAGCGAGATAGAAGTTCAGATGGTGTTACTAATGAACTTACTGATTTCGCACATGTGCACTCCGTTTTGGCTAACACAAAATCGGGAGAGTTGCGCTACTGTATATACTGTGGCTGCACGATAATTCAGTGTTGGGATGCGGGGCCGGTTTTTCGTGCATGCGCAGCAAACAAGATCTCAATGAAGTATCTAATACAGACAAAAAAATGTGCCACTGGTCCCGAAAAAATTTTCTCTTAGAAAATTGTTTCGAGTGATCAACAGCACACATTTTTATCACACTATACGAATAACTCACGACTATTTATTTACGAATCACGTTGGCCCGTTTAAATCGTCATATCTCTCGTACGCCGCAAACATACCGCCGCAAACACATCGCGCGAGCCAACGTGACGTGCATTTACATGGTTTGAGGTCGGTCTTCTGTCGGCACGTGATGTTCAAGAAGAACGATTGCACAATACCGAATGTGATATACGATGCCAACCAGTGATGGTAGACCGGGTGAGTTTTTCGCGCATGTGCAGTAGTAATCACAGGAAAGCAACGGTATCAGATAGCGGATTATAGGTGTCAAAGTTTTGGCGGGCTGGGATCGATGATGCTAGAAAAAAGAGTCCTGAGTCCCGAATGAATGTTATAGTGTTCTAAAATACAGCGAGAAAAGTGATTAGTGAAATGAAAGTATGCTGTTGGTCGCTCGTAAAAATTTTCCTTCAGAAATTTATTTAAGGGCGACCAGTGACACACCTTTTGCTTCTACTAGATACTTCGTTAACGCCGCGTTCGCGGCGCATGCGCGAAATACTCCTACCATCACTGATGCCAACACCGGCAACAGTTACATGAAGGGCCGGTTCTTGGGCCAGGTAAGGGAACCGACGCTGTTTTGAACTCTGGCTCGCGTTCTTTTTCGCACGCTCTCTTCTAACAACGAGTTAAAATCCTAGTTACTTCTGCTTACAGCCAACTTTATCATCATTTCTATCGTCTTCTAGGATACATAAAGCTAAAGCAATATTCTGATTGGTTCTTCAGCTTATGTTTACGTTTTACGTTTATGGTTATGGCAATTCATGTGCGAAAGCCTTTACCCTCTGAGAACATTCGTGCATCTTGGCTTCGTAGTTTATAGGCCACAGCAGACACTTTTGCATAAGCGCATAACCATAAGCATAAGAAAATTGATTGATTCATTTTCTTATGCATATACTTAGGGACCAATCAATTTCCTTATGCTTATGATTATGCGCTTATGCAAAAGTGTGTGCTGCGGCCTTATGGTTGAGAACAGGCTGTAGCACACACTTTCCATAAGACATATCAGTAAGGTTTCGACCAATCGCGTTGCTCAATTTGGTTACGGACGGCCAAATTGAGCAACGCGATTGGTCGAAACCTTACTGTTATGTCTTATGGAAAGTGTGTGCTATAGCCTAAGGGCCTATCCAGACAAAGTTGCATAAGTGCATATGCATAACATAAGATCATATGGACCAATGAGCATCGAGTATTAAGTCGCCATATTGACTTATATAACATAAAGCCTATCGCACACAAAATGCATAGAACATAGACATAACATAGCATAAGCATAAAGAAAGAACGCAATCTACACAAATGTGCATAGACATAAGTTTTGGCCAATCAGAATTGAGGAACAATTGAAAATGCGTGTCTCTAACCTATTATTTACAAAAACTCGCGATATGTTCAGCAAATTTGTCAAAATGGACACGGATGATTTGATTTTCACTGCGATATTAGCAAGTTATGTTCTTTTACAAAAGCGTAAAAAAGTAAAAAAACGACTATGGATACGACCAATATATGTACGTCGACCACTATTTGGTGATTTTCAACATCTTTTTCAAGAATTGAAAGAAGATGCGACAATGTTTTTTAAATACACAAGAATGAATCTCTTGACTTTTAATAAATTATTGGATATACTGCGACCTATTTCTTTCCATGAGTTATTTTTTTTAATAATATCTTTAAAATCTCTTGATTCCTTATTATAAAGATGCGGATAACCTTTAACAAGATCCACTAATAACGAATCTTCCTCTCTCGAAGTCATTGTATTAATTATTCTGTTCTCACACATATTTTCTTCATTTTCACTTCTTTTCAAATAATAATTATTATGATCTTCCATATTTTAGCTTTATGAATTTTTATTTATTTTCTTTAATGCAGTCTAGCGTGAACATAAATACCACAGACTTCTATAACGGTGGAACTAGGTTGTCATCCTGGCGGGAATTCATGTCTGACATTTGATTGGCTGTACATAGACCATATGCATAAAAATTTCGTTCTTATGGATTTTTTCATTTCTTATGCACATGTTATGCTTATGCTTATGCTATGTTATGTAAATCAATATGGCGACTTAATACTCGATGCTCATTGGTCCATATGGTCTTATGTTATGCACATGCAGCTATGCAATTTCGTGTGCGATAGGCTTAATACTCGATGCTCATTGGTCCATGTGGTCTTATATTATGCATATGCACCTATGCAAGTTTGTCTGGATAGGCCCTAACTAGTGAGACGTGAGCGCTTACGTCTGTCGTAGTCATGGACGTAAAGTAAGACAGAGAAAAACATATGTCCTAGGGCCTCCGCACAAGGTGTTCCGTATCGCATTACGTTACGTTAAGTATAGATCGTAAATTTAACTCTGTACGTAACCTTAAACTAAAGATATGTCTTTACGTTACGATTTTTTCTGTGCGTTGACTGAAGTTTAAGGTTACGTACAGAGTTAAATTTACGATCTATACTTAACGTAACGTAATGCGATACGGAACACCTTGTGTGGAGGTCTATACGTTTTTCTCTGTCTTACTTTACGTCCACGACTACGACAGACATCTAGTTCTCTGCCATCAGCCTAAAGGTGCAATTTCATTGACGCTAAAAAGTAGCGTCAACCATTGGTTGAACAATGAAGCAACTACTTACTTCTTTGTTCAACCAATGGTTGACGCTACTTTTTAGCATCAATGAAAAGGCCGCTTAAGTGCACGTTTTTAAAGTCCACAGAGGGCGTATCGCTTTCAGGAATCATTTAAAAGCAGGCCATGACATCTCAACACACAGTCTTCTTTCTGTTATGTGTAGTATGTATATATAAATATCTGACAAAGTTACTGTCAATCTGCTAAATACAGGTTATTAGCCATATAAGTGATATTTAAATTCTATTGGAAGAAAAATAATAAAAGATTGTATATTTTTATATAATTAGAATTACATTGATGATCAAGATTCCTAACAATATGCGACGTTCTCATTCAGGTAAGGTTTTAACTATGCATTTTTTAATGTAAATGTATAGATAAATTCTTAATTTACACATAATTGTTATATTTCCAGGAGGTTATAGCTACGAACCATTACCAAGTACATCTACTCACAATGCCATAGAAGACGAAAGTGAAAGAATGACAGAAGAGTTAAAGCACAAAATTCATACTTTAAAATCTTTATCTATTGACATTGGTACAGAAGTAAAATATCAAGACAAACTGTTAAGAAATATGGTTAGTTGATTATTTTTTTTAGGACAAATATACAATCTCATTTTAATTTAATCTTTCATCTAAAAAATAAAGTTTATTTTAGGATGATGATTTTGAAAGAACGAGTGGCTCCTTATCAGGTTCTGTGACACGTGTTTTGCGTTTAGCAAAAGCAGGCCATAATTATTATATCCTATACTTGTTCCTTTTTTCTATAGCAGTATTTTTTATATTGTGGGCAGTTTTGAGATTTAAATGATTGTTCATAAAATCTATAACTAAGATAAAATGTATATAAGATGTAACTAAGTCAAAATTGGAAATTTTAAATAAGTTATGTAGTTGGCTTATCTGTGAATTATATGAAAAAGTTTATTCTCATTTTGTTAAGATTGCATTGTGGTATACATATATAAAAATATATATTAGTTATTCTATATCTACGCATAGAAAGAAATATACATTAGAAATAAATACTATTTTTTTTTAAATTTATAATTCTTATTTTTTTCTTTAATTTCTGCACTATCTTTAACAAATTTCATCAATGATGTAGGATCACATTTGACTTGATATTGTGAAAAACATTGATCTTTTATAATTAAGAGCAGTGATACATTGAGACTGTTTCATTTTACTGTGAATTCTATTTACACAATTCTATGACAAATATATATATATATATATATATATATATAAATTAAAATTTATAAACATTTAATATTTATAAGTTTAAATAACGTGGAATATTAATTAATGGAACAAATAAATATATGTTTAATATAGATGCTTAGCAATTAGTTTTCTCATTTATTATATTGTAAGAAAAATACATTGGAGTAATATGACAATTCATATATACTTTTGCACAGATTATTAAAAAAAAAAAAAAAACAATTATGTTTCCAAGAATGATTAATTTTTCTTAAATATGTGTGATTTGATAATCATATTAGAAAGAAAATGATTTGATGAAGTTAGTATGTAATCAATATCTGGAGTCTGCTTGTTTAATTAAAATAGAGTAATTTGATTGAAGTAGTAGATCGAAATTTGTAATGTATAAATTTATTTTTTTAATAACTTATCATTTTAATAATTGTTTTAATGATTTATTAAGATATTTAAGAATATTTATAATATAGATTCAAGACTTCTTTCATGAAAATCATTAGAAACATAAATTGAAAATGTAAAAATATAAAATACATGCTTAAATATATATATGTTCTACAATAGAAAATAGAAGAAACTTTGAATAATCTATTCGAAAAATTAGAAGTCACACATATACAACACACACAATTGTTTAAGTATTTATTAGTTTAATTAAAACATATATAAGTTCATTAATATTTTAGGTAGCACATATTCGTTTCAAAAACGTTTCACAAATATTTCTTCAAAATGTTTTATAACTGCCCACACAGAAAAAAATTATCTAATAGATATCTAATAAATATCTAAATGCCTATATATGAGGTCCATACCCACATAGCAAAAAGTCGATCCTAGATACAACAACTGGATATACTTCAAAAACTTTTAATTATCCAAAGGATATCTATGGGTATTTACGACAATTAGGGCCTATCCAGACAAACTTGCATAAGTGCATAAGCATATGCATAAGAAAATGGACCAATCACATGTCTCATTTAAAGAATACTATACTATAGCATAAAATATATACATAATGTCGAAAAATTTTGTATATCCAGAAAGCTTGTATGGCGTATGTAGAGAACCTCTAGGAGAGAGAATGGACAACTGATCAAGCTTTTTCATGATTGGCTGGCAGAAAATGTATCAATTTTAGCTATTGCGACGCCAATGCAAAATATGATGCACACAAATAGGTTAATATATGTGTGTCATGTGTGTCCTATTTGTGTGTCATCATATTTTGCATTGGCGTCGCAATAGCTAAAATTGATACATTTTCTGCCAGCCAATCATGAAAAAGCTTGATCACATGTCACATGATCAGTTGTCCATTCTCTCTCCTAGAGGTTCTCTAGGCGTATGCATAGTGAGCTAAGCCAATCACGTCTTTTATAGAAAAATCGTGATGAAACATAAATCAACATAAATATAACATATGCACAAGTAAAAGTAAAGTCACTAGATTTCATATCGTTGAAATTTTATACATATGTATATGCAAGAGCTAATTTTAGCCATTTTATAGGACATTACTGTGACATTGTTCTAGAATATCATCCGATAATTTATATACTTATTATAATCTATGATTCTCTGATTAAACCAGTCTGATATTCTTTGACAACCGGGTATTCAGTTTTCGCTCACCAAGTTATTCCATTGTGCAGGTAAGATTCCTAAAAATAAAAAACGAATAAATAATTAAAAAATATTTCTGTATAATGATAAGATATGATATACATTTTTATAGCTAATATATATTTAATTTTATCACAATTTACAATATTACATTATATTTACAATATTAGAATTTGTTATAAATTTTTATAAATTATATATATTCTTACAATTTTTTAATATATTATACAATCTTTCTATGCATACAATAATAAATAAATATAGTGATTGTCGTATTAAATTCATGAATTGCAAACACATTGTTGATTACATATTTTTACATTATTACATACATTATACGTACATTATTATTGATTATATATTTATACTTTTCTATAATCGATTTATTAGGAGAATATAATAATAAAAAGTACGGGTGGCACCCGATGGACTACGTCCCCAATTGGCCAATTCAAAATAGGACTCTCTGATTGGTTAATCGTTGCTGGTTACCCTAGGCACAGGTCGATATAATTGGCTGTGGTCAATCGCAACGTGGTCAAACGGGACGCTCCCAAAAGTACAGTTAGAAATGCCAATTTAAATGTCCAAGAAAAAGTATGCGATCAATACAAAAATAATTGTAAAATATATTTACAGGGTTTAACAATATTCCAGAAGAAAAAAAATACTATAAATAGTGGAGTCAGAAGATGGAATCAGAAAAAGTAAATGATCTCACTCAAGAATATGAATATGAATATAATGAAGCCGATACTGATAAAATTTTAATAGATCTTGTCAAAAATTTTTCTCATTTGTATGACAAAAGTGTAGTCGATTTTGTAGTCAATTCGAAAATATACACAAAAAAGAAACGAGGCAAATATTTTATTCTTTGGTAATAAACTATAGTATAATAGCACCGGCGATTATGTTCCGAAATTCATTGACAATTGCCAATATTGACAATGAATTTCGGAACGCAGCTTTATGATTGGTCGATTTCTCTATAGATTATACTTATGCAAGTTTATCTGGATAAGCTTTTCTTATGGTTATGATTATGCATATGCTTATGTCTTATACAAGTTTGTCTGGATAGGCCCTTATACTCACTACGCCCAGCGCAGAATGTATTATTTTGACAGTAATTACTGCGCCCAGCGCAGAATGCATTGTCATATATTTATTCCTTTTTTTAATGCAATGCGTGTGTGTGTATCTGTCTTTTTTTTCAATATTTCCACGTAAATCTATTTCTTCATCTTTTCTTTTTCCATCATTTTTTGTCTTTTTGCTTCAATTATATAATCTGAGTCACGAATTGCCATATTTCTTTCTAGTCTTGGATCAAGTTTTGGTAAAACACAGTCTTTATAAAATTGCGCCAGTTTATTAACCATATTTTCTGACCAAAAAATATCATCACGTTTAATTTGTTCCATTTTTAATCCAAATGGTGTCCATAATGCGAAGATGCAGTATTCTCGTTGTGTAATATGTAATTGTCCTTGTATTATTGTATTATATTGTATTATATTTGTTGATAATAGTAAACGTAACTGCGTTTCATTTCTTTATCTGTTCCATTCTTATATAACGATTGCAGATTCGACATATTTGCTGCAATCGCATCTTCTAGTGTTAAAAATCGTGCTGCAAAAGGACATTTTATTTCTACAATCTTCCATTATTTCCTATTAATCCATCTGGCAAAGCGCCTAAAAATGGTATTTCTTTATCTATAAATAATCCGCAACGTTTAATGTTAATATTCAGTGCATTTTCGATACTTTTGCGTGCAATATCCTCGTATTTTGTCCCGTGTTCCACTGATTCCACATTTAATTGTTGTGGATATATTATTGATTTAACTCTTGACACGCAAGAAATACTTTTTCTCATTTTACATATATGTCCAAAGTAAGAAGCGGTTATTATTTTTGTGCGATAATATTGCCAAATGCCGCTTGCTGCTTGTTCTTTAATTTCTTCTTCTATTGTTACTCGCTTTAATTGCCAATCTCGTATGCATGTGTTGCGCTTTTCTTAATTCAATTTCGGCTGATGTTGCATCAGGTTTATCAGCCTGCGGCCCATAATCTTTGTCACTATTGCACGTTTTACGTAATGTTGCGGTGTTGATTGTTTTCTCATGTCATGTGCACTTGTTTTTTTCTTATCTTCTAAATGCTGCTATTTCCCCTGGTTTTGTTCCCAGAACATTACTTAAATGACTTATAGGCTTGCCAGTATTAAATGTGACTGCTGTAGCATTACAACGCATTTCATACGATTCTCTTAGATCATAATTAACTCTTTTTCCATCAGTACATTTTGTTATTACAGAGTTAAAAGTTTCTACTCTATTAGGCGCCTTCAGAAATCCTACCCGTATGGTAAAGTAACATCAAATCGATCAATCACGATAAAAGGAGCAAACATTTCTCGATCCCGATTGATAGGTTAAATACCATTCTACCTTACGAGTAGGATTTCTGAACGCAGTTATTACTGTCTTTATTTTGTAATAAACTTTTGGCATTCCAATTTATATATTTTAATGCATTTTGAAGCTTTTCATATAGTCCACATCTTTTTAATTCTGGAATATAATTTTCTTCGTTTTATTTTTGCGATCCATCGCAGAAATATCCTATTCTTGTACATCCATTATGTTCGCCAAAATCGTGATTTATTATATTTTCCGTCTATTTTGAGAGCTTTAATTTTTTCTTGCATTGTACTTTCCTCCTCCAAACGATATTCTACAACTTTCGTTACAGCTGTTCTAATTCGAAGTATCCGATTACCAATTACATTTCTTAATTTGTCAAAACGTCCTTTTGTCTTTGCTATTTCCTTTATTTTTGATGCCAAGTTGCGCAATAAATGATTTCGACATTCTATTTTTTCTATAAAAACATTAGGATATGGATTTGCCTGTATTATTTTTTTATATACATTGCTATCTCCGTCTGCTATAAATATGGAATAAATTAGTCCGCGCTTTTCTATGCTTCTCTTAAATTCTTCTACAATCGCTTCTGTTTCCATGCTTGTTGAACTACAATCTCTACCCCAATTTTTATAACATTTATGATTTATAGGTTCTTTTTTAAGTTTCTCTGCTGTAACACAAACTGCACAATATTTATTTTTTACAGACATGTGCAGTACTTTGCCTGTTCGTGCACCAATTATTGTGCCTACACCTGATAAAGAATCATACCGTCCTGTTCTGTATGATTTTTTCATCCAGCTTCCGTCATCTTTTACTGCTATATTCTGTGGTATTCCATTTATTATTTCATTGCGTTGTAATGCCAAATCACGTTCTTCATTCGCAGCAGCATTCATGCTTTCTTCTGCAATTTTTGCAAATGCTTCAGTAGCAGTTTCATGGGTCTTTTCATAAGTTTTTTTTTGTCATGCACTTAATATTCATAGCAGCGCAACTTTCTTGTAACTGTGTATATCCTGTACCAGTTAGTATTGCGCCAGTCACTGCCCCTATATTTACATGTAAACTTTTGTCAGGGGGCGGCTCACTCCAGACGAAGCTTTCAAAATTGCACATTCGGCATTTGAAAAAGAATTTATTTTTTAGTCCATACGCTCGGGCACCAATAAATATTAAGTCACGAAAACTACATTCTATTCCGTGACTATGGTTATCAAATTTTTTATGTAACTGTTCAAAAAGATAGACAAAATCTAAGATACATTTTCCTGGCATACTGTTACTTTCTAGGCGGTATGCATCTATATTATTATCTGTTATTAAAGTGTCACTTTCTTCAGTCTCACTGTCTTCTAATATTTTTCTCAATTCATTGTCACTAATATATATGTCGTTATTTTCTTGTCTGTATTTATTTCGAGACCTATTGCAGCTAATTTGCCATGCATAATTCTATCATCGTGAAAAGTTAGCTCATCATTATCTAATGTGTCATTGTGCTCTTGTGTCAATTTTTCCTCATCTATATTTATTTTGATATCCATTGCAGCTAAATTATCATGCATAATTACATCATAAAAAGTATGCTGAAAAGTATGCTTATTTTGATCTACTTGCATTATTTCTTTATTTAATACATTAATTTCTTTATTCAATATATCTATTTTTTTCAATTTTTCTTTTCTCTTATAAATTAATGAGATGAATTGATGAAAATAATGTGCGAATGTCTCAAATCAATAAAACGTTTGCATATGGTTTTTTATAACAATTAAATTGCAATATAATAATTTATATCATAATATAATGTTGCGATATAATTATTAGTGTTTACCGCAAGAAACTTTTTCGTTATGTTATATATATATATTGAGGGCTTTATTTTGTAAATAAGTTTTTATTTACACTTTATTGATTTCTACAATCTTTGGTCGCCAAGCTATTTTTGGCAAATTCTTAGTTATTTTACTTTCTCGAGTTTTTTTCCTCGGCTATTATAGAATTCGGTTTGGGTCCCTCTTGATCTTTTATTTGATGAACGAGGAGTCCTTGGTGAAAAGGAACGAGGTGTCGCCGGGGCAGGAGAAAATTTCTTCTCGAAAAGTTCAATCGGAATCAGTTTCCAAGGAAGAAATTGAATTACTTTTCGTCGGTTGGCATTGGTAATGCTAAGATGATCTCGAAGATTTTGAAGATCTGGAAGGTCTCGAAGATCTCGAGGATCTAGAAGGTCTCGAAGATCTGGAAGGTCTTGGTGGTCTCGAGGGTTCCGAGGATCTGGAAGATCTTGGTGATCTCGAGGATCTGGAAGGTCTCGATGGTCTCGAGGGTTCCGAGGATCTGGAAGATCTTGGTAGTCTCGAAGATCTGGAAGGTCTCGGTGATCTGGAGGATTTCGAGGATCTGGAAGGTCTCGATGGTCTCGAGGATCCCGAAGATCTGGGAGGTCTCGGAGATAAGGTAAACCGCGAGGGTATTCAAAAAAGACAAAAGGTAATTTCGCTGAATAGCTAGAAGCTAGTTTCTGCTAGAGATCCTATAAGGATCTTTAGTTTCTGCGAAGTTACAAGAGGTGAAAAAGTCATCAACCGCATCTTCATAAATACACTTTCCAATGTGTTTCAATTGCGAGAAAATAATCTTAATCTGTCGCGCCTTTCAGCGGCATTAATTATAATTGAGATTGCGCCGACTTCATTACGCTGGTCAGCGCTTCCGCGATCGCGCTTGGTGTGGCGAGCGTCAGGGACGCCACAGGACCCCCTCTGCTGTATATTAGTTAGGGATCTGAAAACGGACCTGTGATTTGGAAGTCCGACCACTGCGCGTCTGAAGTTTTTTTGGTTGAGGTTTTTCCTTTTTTTTCATTCTGTTGATTTTTTGAGAAATCATCTTCTTCAAGGACATATGCTGGTTTAACTGTATCTATAGACACATTTATATTTTTGCCGTTTTTATTGATAGTGATAACTTTTTCATTTCTTTTTATTATTTTATAAGGCCCTTCGTACGGAGATCGAAGTCCTCCACCAATTGTTTCGTTTCGAACAAAAACGTGTGTTGTTGTTTTCTTGAAAAATAAAAGTCGTTGTTTCTCCATGCTTTTTTATTTCTTGTGGTTTTAATTTTTGCATACTCTTCCTTAATTCTTCTAGAATCTCTCCTTGGTTCTCTTCAAAAATTTCTGGAGTGTTTTTTTGTAAGAATTGTCCTGGCAATTTGATTGGTTCTCCGAAAACCATTTCTGCTGCTGTTGCTTATAGATCCTCTTTCCATGCTGCTCTAATACCCATTAATACTACT